TAAACAGTTAACTGCAGAATTCCCCTCTGCCAACACTGTGGTGAGACAGCTACACCCTAGAACAACTGCTTACATTGTTACGTACCTAAACAATTTGAAAACCGTAAAGAGCTACTCAAGATACCACCAGAGTAAAACCACAGCAAAGCCCACTCTTGCTCCAGGAAATAACTCATCTGTTTACCAGAAGGAAACAGCACTGACGGACTCCTCAGACCCAATGGGGACGTGCCACAAAGATGACTGGGGCACCTGGGTGGCTCAGTCGGTTGAGCGTCCGACTTCAGCTCAGGTCATGATGTCACAGTCTGTGAGTTCGGGCCCCGCGTCAGGCTCTGTGCGGACAGCTCAGAGCCTGGAGCCTGCTTCGGATTCTGTGTCCCTCCCTCTCTCTGCCCCTCCCCGGCTCATGCTCTGTCAAATATTCAAAAATATTTTTGAAAAACTATGACAATGCACAGGTCGGATCCAGTGGGGCTGCCACACGCCATCCCAATTCACCCTAAACACTTCCGTTCCACCATATGCCGCCGCAAAGCAAGATCACCTGTCCCAGGAAAAAAACGTATCCTGTGAAGATGGCCTATCCTACACAGCAAGCTCCTCTGCAGTCTTTTCTAGTCAATTTCAGTCATGCCAACATACAGCTCAACAAAGCCTGCAGGGCTTGAAGCACAAATGGAAATACACAAATGCCTTTTAAACTGATCTGATTGATCACGTTTTGGTAAAAATAAAATTGGAAAAGAAGAGGTTAACATTTTAGAAGGAAAGGGAGCCAAGTAGAAGCAAACCATCCTATTAAATCCAAGGTCTCAGGGGGCACCTGGGTGGTTCAGTCGGTGAAGCAACCAACTTCAGCTCAGGTCATGATCTTGCGGTTGATGGGTTTGAGCCCCGTGTCGGGCTCTGTGCTGACAGCTCAGAGCCTGGAGCCTGCCTGGGAGTCTGTGTCTCCCTCTCTCTCTGCCCTTCCCCCACTCACGCTCTCTCACTCTCAAAAATAAATAAATGTTAAATTTTTTTTTTTTAATTTCAAGGTCTCTGGACGCCTGAGTGGCTCAGTCAGGTAAGCATCCAACTCTTGATTTTGGCTCAGTTCATGATCTCATGGTTGGGAGATCGAGCCCTGCATCCTGCTTAAGAGTCTCTCTCTCTCCCTTAGGGGTGCCTGGGTGGGTCAGTCGGCTAAGCATCTGACTTCGGATTGGGTCATGACCTCGCGGTTCGTGAGTTCAAGCTCCACGTCAGGGTTTGAGCTGGCCTGGAGCCTGCTCGGGGTTCTGTGTCTCCCTCTCTCTCCACCCCTCTCCCACTCAGGCTCTCTCGCTCTCAAAAATATACATTAAAAAATATTTCTCTCTCCCACTCCCTCTGTTCCTTCCCCACTCATGTGCATGCCACATGCTCTCTCAAATAAATTAATTAATTAATTAAATCCTAGGTCTCTAACTTCAAATGTCTACACTGAATATGGTATCACTTGGGGTGTGTTTCAAAACTTCCACCACTAGCCAGTGCTGAAGAGCACAGTTTCTATCTCTGAGATCTTCTAGTTTAGAAGACCCTTAATTCTATCTCCTTGGAAGGTTTAAAAAGGAGAATTTTAAGTTATTTGAAAGGTTTAAAAAGGCGAATTTTTTAATTATCTTTGGGAGAATATAGGGAGAATTCTACAGTACATTTCTTTTCTATGTGAAACTGTGTACAGCAAATGGTCTGTGTGAAGTTTTGAATACAGTGATTTACAGCAAGCTCCAAATAACACATGCTTTGTTATTTACAAAACCGGTCATCATACAAGGATCTATTTCAATGCAAGTTTAATTTCTTATTCTTTATAGGCTTGCAACTAACTCCATAATCACCTCAAGACCAATGTTAAATTGGTTCTTTCATTCCAACGTTAAAAATTATGATTTCCAGGGGCACCTGAGTGGCTCACTCGGTTAAGTATCCAACGTCGGCTCAGGTCATGATCTCACAGTTCGTGGGTTCAAGCCCGGCATCGGGCTCTCTGCTGTCAGCTTGGGAGCCTGGAGCCTGCTTTGGATTCTGTGTCACCCTGTCTCTCTGCCCCTCCCCTGCTAATGCTGTCTCTCTCAAAAATAAACATTAAAAAAATAAAATATAAAGAAAAAAATTATGATTTCCAAAAGTGAATAACCAAATCCAAGATTTTGTACCATGGGGAGTGTTTCTAAATTTAAAATGTTTGGGGCGCCTGGGTAGCTCAGTCCGTTCAGTGTCTGATTCTTGATATCAGCTCAGGTCATGATCTCACAGTTAGTGAGAATGAGCCCCAGGTCCGGCTCCATGCTGTCAGTGAGGAGCCCGCTTGGGATTCATTCTCTCTCTCTCTCTCTCT